AAAGGCGTTTTAGCTTTTTTTTTTTTTGTATTTCTTCAAAAATAAAGTTCAACCAGATTTTAAAGGGATACTGAAGCGAAACTTGAAATACACCTATTATGGTCAGAAATAGGTTCAATATGATCAATGATATTCATAAATCATAATCGCGCGTTTGTATTTTGAACGGATGGCTATATTTTTCACCCTGATGGGCCCGATTGGGCGCGCGCTCAAAAATCGGCCATCGGAGAGCGCGATGCGTCTTGGGATATTGGGCGCATTCGTGACGTCACTTGTGCCGGTCGGGAAAGGCTACGGCGTGAATGTTGTGGTTACGAGCGTTGCCACTTGGTGGCGCGTCGACGATTTACGACCTGTGACAACGTGGCCGTTTGAGATGTGCAAGGGCTGCACGCACGCTGCACCACGGGACCACGGCAAGTCGGCAACCACGGCAGCACTGACAAAACCAGCTCTGAGGCCGGATTCTCAAAGCGAATTCACGACGAAAAAAGTGCGTACGACAAATTTGAGAGAAAACCCGTGCTCTCGAAACGAAATTGTCGTAACCTTTGCGCAGGTTACGACAGAATCCTACGACAGCTCCGAAGCTGTCTTACGCACTTTTTACGATCAAATCAACAAGGCCGACAGCGTTGCTCAGTTACTTGGTATCGGCCACCAACGGACATTTATTTTTCTTCGTGCTCTTCTCGTGCGTCCCTACTTCAAGAAAAAAGGAAGGAGTACTTAAAACAGACCACGATCAAGAACGCAGGATCCACAAACACACGAGAAGAGCTACAACAGCCACGATTCTGCCGACCGAGCGAGCTCGGCAGAATATAGTAGGCCTAGCAGCAACATCGACTCGGCGCACCGTTGCTCCGGCGGTCCTTGGCCAAGACCGTCTGTCCATGACCGGCTGGCCTGCTGAATGGAATATGCCCGCGCGACCCTTGTGGACCCTTACCGGATGAGTAGTTTGATCCCTGAACTAAATTTCAGAGGTCAATATTTTCCCCTTGTCATCTCGATCTCCTTGTTTTCCGAGACAGCGGTGACGAACGCTGTCGTCGAAAAGGGACTCTCATTGATTCTATCTCCTTGTTTTGTGTGATATAGAGCTCAAATAAACGCCATACGGATTACCTTGGCAACTCGGTATGTACACTCTGTTATTCGTATGCCATTTTTATTCTGACTCGACGCTACGTCAGTGTCGAGCTATAGCAGTTCGTGGGAGCTACGCGATGTCGGTCTAACCTTTCTTTGCCGAGTGTCATGTCAGTATCGAGTTGCAATCGTAAAAGATCGGTCCAGAAGCGCTTACCGAAACGCGGTCTAACAGAGCGAATCCAGCACTTCGATCAAACGCGCGTGTCCGCTCCGAGTGTGAACAGGTATTTGGCATTTGCGTGGCTCTTGCTGACACCCTCGTAGTTCAAACATATCCTTTTTAACGTCGGCTTGCAGCTCGCGACTCGCAGCAACTAATACCGGCCGTGCCAGAAGCATGCTCGGGCCGTGTCGTGCAAAGAGCCGCAACGAGAACGAGCTCACTGTGGCCAACTACGCTTTGGCTTTCTCCGCCAAGGCTTCGCAAACGCGTTCAGGCCTAGGCGAATTCTGCCGGCACGCCGTATTGCCGCAGAACGGCGCTGCTATTTTGGCACAAGTGATGTCACGAGAACTTCCCCCCATCCACCAGATGAGAATTTGAAATCGTTTAATTATGTTTAAAATTAGTTCTCCTGTGTTTTACAGCGCAATATTTATATTTCCGAGGTGGTGCCTGTCCCTAGCCCATATTTATGCAACAAGATCGGCGCTAAAATTTCGTTTCACTACCCCTTTAAGCCCACTTTCTTTTTTAAAAAAACCTATTGACTTAATTAGAGCTTACTAAAATAAAGTAAGGTAAAATAAAACAATATCTTAGAAGGTCACCCCAGAAACAATGTTATTTTGTTTTGCCCGTCAGGGAGATTTAGTGAAGCCCAAGAAATCCATCGCGAAGCCCGACGCTGATTGGCTGGCGGAAAGGTCGCGTGATCAACGCAGATCGGCTGATTCCGATGGGTAGGTTCTGGAAAACCTTCAGTCTTTAAAACCCGACTAGCGCCAGTATCTTCATCATTCCAGGAAGTGCTATGTTCCTATGCCACGTGTTATCTGATGACGAGCGCCGAAAGCGCAGGCACCGGGCTCCGTAACCTTCCGGAGCGATACCGGAGCATTTGACGTATAATGCAATTGCCCAGCATTATATATATATGTATATATATATATATATATATATATATATATATATATATATATATATATAGTATACAGAGAGTATATTGGAGGAAATAAATATCAGAAACTAATGAACTGAAGTTTTTTTTTTTTTCTCAATCCTCTCTTTTCTTTTCGCTACTTTTTTTTTTATTCTCTTTCTTTTTTTTTCTTTTTTCTTTTTCTTTGGTGGGGGGGGGGGGGGATTTGGGGCGGAGGGGAAGGAAAAAGGGGGGGGGGGGGAGTTTGGCGTCCGCCTATATGGTCCAGCACGCGGCGAAGTACATTATTTTCGTAGCTAGTCATTCGGACTGGGGCCATTGTGGTTTGGGATTGTTTTGCTTGTTTTCTTCAATGAAAAATCTCGCTTAACTGATAATCAAGAGGCAAGAACCCGCTTCTATGCGCTGTACGCACTGAACTGGGCGAGTACAGAGCGTATCTTGAACACCTCTTAGAAGTTTCGGGCACTTGCGACGTTTCCTCTATCAATCACGAGAACGTTGTGTAATTATAAATTCTCAAACTTTCAGATTGTTTACGGTCACGACAACCACGTCTTTTCATCATACAAACTGAAACAAGCAACAGCACTACTTCGCTTGTGTACCCACCCTTGCTCTTACGAGAGAAAGAAAAAAAATCGCCCGTCATTTAAATACTCGCATGACTGATCACAGCTCGAGTCGCGGAAGCCCGTTTTTTGTTGGACGCTTAACGATATCTTTATACTCACTGCGAGCTAGTTACAGAGCGTGCACGTCGCCTTAGGGCGTTTATTTATGGACCTCCGCCGCCATTTCTGCCGGGCGTTTGTTTTGCCTCAGGCTACTTTAGATTCGCGACAGCACGCCACTGTGTCTGCCGATACTTGCTCGCCTTGTTGCGATTTTGCTTTGATTACACCCGAAACTACGCCGCTAACACCCGGGCACCGTAATACTCAAAACTGCCATTAATCTCCATAACATGCGCCGGAGCGGAACGTTGTCTCGAGTTCTTTTCTCATTCGTAATTGTGCTCGCCATCAATAAAAAAAGCGATAACTGGGAAAACAGTAATTTTCGCAGAATGCTTCGGCTTTAATATTAAACGTTAACATACCCCTAACCCCCTCTTCTCTCCCCCACACACACGCACATTCATTTATTTTAAATAAATATTATTTGTAGTTTAATATCTTTAATTATGGTATCGGTATATGAAGGAATTCGAGCGATGTATAGCGCAGATAACTTGCCCCTTTTTGTCTGCGTAAGAAATACTTGCCGTGATGAGCGATTCACAGGAAGGGAACATTTGAACGCATTTGCTTTAATTTATGAGTATATATATATATATATATATATATATATATATATATATATATATATATATATAGTCAATTCTTCTATGACTAAAATGCAATGTCTCGACTTCTTACAACCTAGTCGGTACGCAATGTTCAACGTAGTTATTGGATCCCTCTGGGCCAAAGTAGACACTGCACAGCGCCCAGTTTGCAGTTCTGAACGTCTTGTGCACTCTGCATTGTCCAAGGATCGTGTTAAAAATTGATGCCGTCTCAACCTAGATTTTGACTCGCCGTGCTGTGTCCGCCAAGCGTTCGAGTACAGCATCGAGCAGATGCATATGACAAAGACACGGCCCAATGTCATCTCAATCTCCAAGAGCTGAGCGCCAGTAGCGATAGAAATCGGATTAAAATTCAGTTGTCTCGATACCATGCTTATCGCCGCGATAGTTATCAATGGGAGAGGTTCCACGGATGGGAATACACCTTCAGAAAGCAATTTCGAAGCAGCATCTTGCCGCTTCACCTTCTCCTGGAGTGGCTTACATTCCTTTTTAAAATGTTGACCATAATGGAATGTTGACAATAAAATGTTGACTATAGCATGTTAAGATATACCATACTTTTTTCCGTATAGAACTACTCTCTATGAAGTCATTCCAAATCATCTGCTACACCTCTTTGCGCGTGCGCGCGTGTGCGTGTGTGTGTTTGTGACAGAGAGAAAGAGAGAGAGAGAGGGACATTCCCCGCTTGCTCCTATCCCAGCCAGTCACCTCAACAGAGAATTAGAAGACTCCGTCATTTAGAAATACCTCCCTTTAGTTCACAAAAACGCCTAAACATTGTATTACCTTTGTGTGAAAATGTATGTACATAGGCGTAGACTACGGGGGGCATCGGGGCTCGTGCCCCCCTGGTGAGATCCGGGGGGGGGGGGGGGGGGGGGGGAGCGGGGTAGAGCCCCTCTTCCCCCCCCCCCCCCCCCCCCGGGCTATGATCCTTACCGAGACGCCGTTTACGTACCATGTAACGAGCTTCTAGTAGTGGCATGTAAACAAAATAACGCACACAGCGACGGACACATGGCGGTATACATACGCTGTAAAATATACCCCCTAAAATAATTTACTGATAATTGTCGATGTAAAAGAAAATTGCGCGAAAAAGCCCCTGGAGAACTTCTCAGCCTGCCCCCTCCGGGAAAATGGAAAGTCTATGCCGCTGTGTATGTATATGAAAGGGCTTGAAATTGTACGCACGTTTCTTTCGTTCAATTTCATGATTTCTAGTCCCTTGACGAAAAGAAATCATTCCAGGTGAATAAACATTGAACTATACACGACATACGATCTGCAAGGACTATAGTCGAGTATGATGCTGTGTGGCATTGCAGCGTTGAGGCCACTGCAGCTGCCCAACTTTGAACGAGAACGCGGCCGGAATGGCCTCCGGCTGCCGAGGGTACGTCCCCTACCTGTTTCCAGGGTGCTTCTCTGCGAGACACCCTCTGACAGGTCTCCTCCGCCGTGCCACCTTTTCCCAGGCAACCGGATCAACTGGTGTCATGGCGTCCCCCTTGCTGTGAGTTCCTGGCGGCCGCTACGAGATAATCAGGGTAATTTCTTACGCATTCTTATCTTCCTCACGGTGGGTACGCGATTCCGGGTTCCTCGTAAGCCACCCGGGATTACGGTCGCTGCCAGAAGCGACGAAATTCCGCGAGTCAAAGGCGCAATTGCGAGCCGGCTCCGCGTACCACCCGGTCAAATTCGCGCGGGGCACCTGCCCGCTTCATTCGTTTTGCATTTTCCGTCGAGAAGGAGGCGCTTTTCACCGTTGCTTCGAAATTAAGCGGCGCTATCTGGGTACGAATCGGCGTTCTAATCTGTCCGCGTGTCTGTGCCTCGTTTTCGCGCCCCCAGCGGAGGAATGCGACTCCCGGGGCTCCTCCGAGTGCGGCGGCTTTTCTTTTTGGCTCATCCCGGGTTGGGGGGGGCTGTATACAAAGCGGCGTGCGCTGCTCGCTGAATGACCTGCTCGAGGCCCGGCCGCTCGGTCCTGGTGCCGGCTCGTGTTTTTACAGCGCCGCGAGTCGTTCGCGCTATCTCGGCGTCCAGAGTTTGTGGCCAAGTTTTGTTCCGGCTTCCTGCCGTCGAGAGATGCGCTGTCGTCTCCGTCAAAGCCTGACGCGCAAACTTCAAATTGGCTGCTTGCTTTTTTACGAGGTAGAGTTTTGTCCTCGGGATTCTCGCGGTTGCCGGCACTGGGGCTGGCTTTGCGGAAGTGTTTTGATCGTGCTGGGGATTTGACGACTTTGAGTTTGGACTTTTAATGGGACGGGCTTGACGTGCGGTGCTGGTTCATTTGCCTCCCCCTTTCGACGACGCCCGAATAAGAATGAGTCGATCTGTCAACTGTTTCTTGTGCGTTTTTTGTGATGCTCGGTATAATATTTTTTCATTTCTTTTTTAATGCGACAGCATTTTTTCTTAATGCTACCGCGTTTCCTAAATGCGATGGCGTTAAGGGAGAAGTCATATAGGGCTAAATTTCAAGAGATAGACACATATGTGCCTTATGCCATGGTGACCGCGAGACGCTAGAACATGTGATTTTAAAGTCCACGGGGCTTCGTCCTGCCCTCTCTTTAGAAAGAACGGGTTTGGTGGAAGCCGTGCCAGCGAAGTTGGAAAAACGGAAGAACAAATAATTAAAAAAAAAAGAGGTTAGTGGATTGACCAAGGAGGTTTAGAGAAGCGTGATAATACACAAATTTGGTGGAGTAGAAAATTTAACGAGAAACCAAATCAATAGCACAATTGAAAGGCGGTGATTTCAGATAAGATCGAACAGGGGGTGGCTGGTCGACCTTTTTAGTTTGCTTCATAATTTTATATGTTATTTCCCGATGTCTCAAATAAACAAAATCATAATTATTTTCACCCTGAAAAACAAAAAAAAAAAGAGTCGGACGAAAAAATTGTACATCACGTAGAGGTGGAAAGTCGCACTTGCTTGCGTTGCCGGTGGGGTCAAATTATTTGGTGATTAATAACGAAAGTTATACTTCTTAGGTGAGTTTCATCATTTTTGGGCACAACCTTTGCGTACTTAGCAATACGAAAAAAATTATTGTTATTGTTTATTGTGTTTAAAAAAAAAAGAAAAGAAAAAAAAAAACAGCAGTTTTGGTTGCTTGACCGTTTTCCCCCCAACTTTGCAGGCCTGTAGCTTAGGAAATAATATAGACAGAAACGTCATATCGTAATTTTCATACGCTGCTTATGAATGTAAGTAAATTCAGTAAAACTCAAATTTATTTATGCTCGGGTTGGGGAGATTTTGGCAAGCAAACACGAGACAAGCACCAAAGTAAAAGTATTTCTAAGAGGAGTTAAAATTTAAAAAAAATTGAAAAAAAAAATACGCTTTCGATCTTTTTTAAACTCTGGCCAGTCATTCTCCTCTATTTGGCTGTTAATATCCATTAAAAGCACGTTCCATCATATTGATGGTGCAAGACATACAGCTCCTCTACCGAGCCCTTTCTCCGAGCTCGACACGGGGTGTCCCTGTGGTGCGACGCAGTGATTGCGACTTCTTGTTTTGAGAGAAAAGTAATTTCTTTTTGTCATTCGAGTATAGCAACTAATAGTTTGTCACATCTTTTGCACGTTAAATTAAATTGTACATTAAATAGAATAAATTACACAACATATAAAACACAGTTTTGCCTTCATAGGTTTCAAAATGGACAGATATTTACGCAAACCCTTTCTGAAGGTGCGCACTTAGAGTATCTTCCAAGGGGACCCGACAGTCCGTGCTACTTGCAAGTCACAGGTCGAAGCTTCCGATGTTTTGTAGAGCCACACATGCCACGATTGAATACTAGGAAAGACGCGCACTTTCACCCACTTTTCATTTTTCTGTTCACGGAATTCAACAACCTCATCTTTGTCCAAAAGTGTGAAATTCACTCCTTTTAGTTTTTTGGGAAACACTGTTCACCATGCATTTTGCAGACTGAATGGCCTTTCCTGGGAGCTGTCTCAAGTTGTGAAGCGTTGTTTGCTGTTTGACGAGTCATCCAACTCCGTCACACGCGTTTTTTTTTTTTTTTTTTTTTTTTTTTTTTTTTTTTTTTTTTTTTTTCATGCACAGTGGCTGAGAATAACCATTGGGCTTTGGGAAAAACATTTTATTTGTTGGATATTCATGAAGTTGGAAGCGATTCTTGAAGTGACTGGTGGCACCGTCACTTACCTAAGTCAAATAACGTTGTCATCGACCCACCCACTCTTTCAATTTTTTGTGGAGCCAGACAAGCATGAGCGGAGTCATGATGCAAGTCGTCACTGATGACGGCAAAACTGTATGTCGACTTTCTAGTCGTCACCACACTCGTAAATATTGAGATCTGTTTTCTTTTTTTGTTTTTTTTTTTGTCCAGTGGTACGCTTGAATCTCGTCAGGAAGGATGACAGTCCAGTTCTCAGCAAAGTCGAAGGGGAAGACAATGCTAACACGCTGCGCACACGTCTTCTCTTCGTAGATGGCTTTGTCTTGCGTCGGTCTGATATGATTGTGAATGATCAACCTTGAGACCGACGCACGAAGCTCTCCCTGAAAAGTGACCGGATCCGAAGTCTTCCTCACGAGCTCGCCTGGCTCCCATGCTGCCAAAAGCTATTTCTTCATCCTCGGAAATTATGAGTTTTTCGATTGTGAGAGACTGGCCTTTGGCACAATGATCACATTCGCCTAAAAGGCACTGGCGCGATGGCGGGTTGCAAATGAATGCCGAGTTCAATTCCGCTGCGTCAAGTTGTAATCCAGAAGCGTTCTGTAGAGAGGCGACGCAAGGATAGTTTGCGCAGTATACACAAACCCATGCCCCTTGCTGGGGATCGCATTTGACCCATCAGGGTCGCAGGGAGTAAAACTTCGTCAAGCCGATGCCGGAGTCTGGATGGTCACTTTTATATACAAGAAACGCTTCTCTGATTGACCGCGTCATGAAACGCTTTGGCTTGAACGTTTCCTGGCCATCGAGCACAACGGAAATGACGTCCTTCTGATTGGGACTCTGCCTGGAACGTTCTACCTCGTCTTTCGTGGATTACTCAACCGCAGCAGTAAAGGCCCGTTCAGGCACTTGACCTCTTAAGACAGAGTTCCTTGGAACCTCTTAATATTTCTTAACGGCGAGAGGACACACTGGCGTCATCTATTGGGTAGCAATGTAAACTTGGCAGTCCCGCATACTTTATATTTCTCTCGCGCATTATCCTTTCTTTCTTGGCTCGAAAAACTTTTGTCAACATTATAAACGAGCCTTTTTCATAGGTGTTACGCACATTTGACGTCGAAAATCTCGCAAAACCTTCGCTCTTGTGAAATGCAGTTCCAGGGTCACCGCATAGATGTCGCCAGTGTGCCAAGGTGTTCTTTCGTCCAAAGAAATTTTAAGAGGTTTCAAAAGGTCTCGTCTCTCTCTGTCGTACCCGCACGATCGCGTGGACGGGCGGAGAGTCTGATAGGCTGAATTGCCTCCGTTGGAAGCTTCCGGTACTTTTACCTAATTATAAAGGTAAAAGTGACATACTTAGAAAAGGTACGGAAGTAAGTCGCTATCGGTCTCACCCAGCGTCTTGTAAACTGGGTAAACGAAGTCCCACTCCTCGAAGTGCTCGTGGCACACAACGACCGACCTTGACGGTGCCTTTTCAATCCTTAGTTTGATTGATTGCTGACAAGCGCACACATGCGGGTGACGCAGTGCTCCTGCCCAATCGTAAGCTGGCTTCGGTTGACGTGCTTGTGCACCGCGGATGCATCAAAGTGAAAAGGCGGAGAACTTTGGAAGGAAAGGGGGTACGAATAGTCCGCTATATTTTCAAACTTCCGTACCGAAAAACAGGCTTTCGGCTTTCTACGGGTTAAAATTAATAAACTATGCTTTGTACCTTCATTTTTTTATCTTTGTCTCTTTTGGTGCCACTTGGTTCAGTTGTACCCACATTTGAATTACGTCCCTCTTATGTAATGCCCGAAAGGGCCTTTAGGGTTAAAATAAATAAAAAAAAAAAAAAATAATGTACTAGTTTTATTTTTGCGCACTAAACGATATGCGATTAGTAAAATCCCAACTTATCCCAGCCGAAAATTCATTTCATGGTCCCTTTCAACGCGAATAAATGCATCAAATGCCCGTATTGTTTCAAGATTTATTGGATAGTATCGGAAGGAGTATCAGTGGCGCAATGTACCGAGGCCAATACACCGTCCTCGTGATGACGAGCACGTGTTTACATTAGCGTTTTTTTCGTTCGTCTGAGTTTCGGCTACTTGCTGTGGACATCCGCCATTTCGATTGGTTGTTGTGCGTTCCCCTCCGACGTGACGGAACCGGAACTTGTTCGGATCCGAGGCAAAAACTTGAGGAAAACCGAGTTCGTGAGCGCTTGTGGGATTGTCACTAAAGAAAGAAAACAACAGGAAGCTCTGCGCCCCCTTGAGTACGTCACTGCGCACGTGACTTGGAAAACGGCGTAGAAGTTGAGGCGTAGCACATACTTAATAATGATAGCACTAATAATAATAATAATCTCT